GGTCGCAACCCGAAAAGTTCGTAAGCAGAGGTGTTCGTAACCCGAGGTACCACTGTATTTAATTAATTAAGACATTGGTGATATAATTTAAATGTCACGTCCAACTCAGGTTTTTTTTTCCCATCCATTTCTTTGTTCTATCTTTCACTGCTTTTTGGAGTATGACCATTCAGAAGCAACATTTGGCTTCTGGCTCACTTTGGCCCTGCCTGAACAATGCAGAAGACTCAGCAGTCTCCTCTCCTAATCATCCAACCCATTTCAGGGTGCTAGCAGGGTCTTTGTGCACCAGCCATGTTTACAGTCCTCCCAGATGGTACCAGGGAGTTCTGGGAGATTGCAGCTTCCTCTTTCACTTCCTGCTCCTTGTTGTTGTTATTCATATAGACATCTTTCTTTATGATCAAAGATAGATCCAACAGAAACACAAATTTATAAAGCATTATTCAACTCTAGCAGGAGCCAATCCCATCCAAGGATCGTGTTCAATAAACTATTTTCAGGCTTTTACAGCAGCTGCCCAGAGGTTGGCTACCCTAAATATTAGGTGATAAATCATATCCAAAAGGGGCAGAATCGCTGTTGTTCTGTTTGTCACTGATGCATATCTCCTGCAGTGGAAAAGAGGTCATGGTTCTCAAATGATGATGATGATGATGCATGTTAGAGCCCAGCCTTTGCAGTCCTTCGGTCAAAAAGGACACACAGATGCATGCGTATTCAAATAACAGCATAGCTTTGTTACTCTAAATGGGTATAACCTTCATTCTCCAAAATGGCTGTTGCTCTCCGATCTTATTCATCGGTTTGTTCATGCCTTTCTGAAGTCAGTTTAGTACACCCTGAAAGTGCCTAAAATGTTGCTGAGAGCTAAGAGGAGATCTCAAATGAATCCTCAAGAGTTCAAAATTCGGCATTTATGTTTACATAAGGAAGAATATCAAAGGCGCGTGGAGTTCTAGATCAAGAGCCAAGATTTACAGCTGCCAAATCAAACCTTCACTGTCTTCAAAAAAAAAAAGCCAACCTAAAATGTGTGTGCCAGTGCTGTGACTTCAACAGGAAAAGGCTGTCATTTTTCTAATTAGCAATGAAACTGTAGGTTAGAGCAAGAACAGAAAATCAGACCATTTCTATTTTTACTGAAAACATAACAGCAAGGTAAGGTGGACTTTTACTCAGCTGATACCAAAATAGGGTCTGTTTAGTTTATGCCTTAATGTGTCGTGTGATCACAGCCAACTGTAAGTATTTACTAAACCATCGTTTTGCAAACCTTGGCTTCATTCACAAATCACATGAGACAAAATGAAACAAACCACTTTATGAAAGGTGAATCAGTCTAGGGCTGAGCATAATTTTTAATCTTACCTTTTGCATAAGGTTGCAAAAGGTAAGATTAAAGCACATGTTGACCTGGTTCTTACATTGTGTTAAGATAAGTTGTCTATCCATAGTATACTGAATATATCATAACTGGGTTTGCACAATATGATAAGTTATAAACCTGGTTAAAACAAAAGCATCTGGGCTCATACAATATATTAAGCCAAAGACAGATGAATTTCATTATGACTTAGCATGATGGGTGCAGCCAGTTGTAGAGTGACAGCTTCCACTGGAGGAAATGGTTGGAGAAGGGTTTACCTGAGTTGCCCCTCCCCCTGTATCACCCTGGGTCCCGGCCCCCAACCCTCTGAGGATTAGAGGATTCCCCCCAACCCCCTGCAATTGCTTTTAAGGAACAGAGGGAGCTGCAAAAAAAGGGCCTTGTGAAAACTGTGGCTTCATTTTCATGTCTTTCCCTATGAAGCTCTCTGTAAGTTGAGTCCTGTTCCTTAACAGCTTGGATCAGTACCGCTGTATTTGAGTTTTCCCTGGAAAATTTCAAGAGCTTTAAACCATAATATTTAGGAAACAGTCTAGCAATATTTGGGAGTAAGACCCATTGGACATGCATAGCATTGTTCTGAATGTCAATTTAATTGATATATTACTAAACCTTAGGACCAGCAATTGACTGAATTTGGTTTTATTTATTTATTTGTTTATTTGTATATATATCACTTGTTTATTATTTGTGCCCATTCTATTTATTTGGTTTGATTTATTTGTTTGTAATTAGTATTTTTTGGTTCTTGCTGTTTTATGCGCATTACATTAAGGGGTGGTGGTGGTGGTGGATATTATTAAAAGCTGATCTATGTCTGTAAACATCTGTTCTTCTTAAATTATTTCAAAAAGACATTTACACTGAAATATTACATTTGAAAATGAAAAGCAGAATAAGTAATTTATGATGTGATTAAAAGTAAATATATTAATTAGCTGATTGTAACAACAGGGGATTAATCAGACAAAAACTATTAATCTGCAGACAGCCAAATTAACCTTTCCATTTCTGGATTATTTCAGATATTGATGAATGCCGCACTATTGCTGAGGCCTGTAGAGGAGATATGGTGTGTGTCAACCAAAATGGGGGCTATTTATGCATTCCACGGACAAATCCTGTCTATCGATCCCCGTATTTGAACCCTTATGCATACCCGCCACCTCCAGCCCCAGCTCCTGCTCCCAATTATCCTACCGCTGGAAGAGCTCCTCCCATTTGTCGGTTTGGGTATCGAATGAATGAAAACAACCAGTGTGTAGGTAAATGGCGAGACATTTTATTTGTGCCAGCTGTGTATAGATGTTTTAGTCTATCACATTTTGCTATCTGAATTGTATTTCTCATTATTTTTGCAAAGAGATTGAGAGAGAGAGTGTGAGTATATATGGGTCCAAATTTTAAAGGCATGTATGATTAAATAGCAAAACACTGGCAAAAGGATAGCACAGCATTTTCCTGCTGTATTGTGCCTTGTTTATTTTCCAGTGGGTCAATGGCCTCTGTACCACACTTGGATTCCTTATTCTGCCAAAGCAAGACATTTATCATGGTGAAGTTTTAGTTTTGTTGTTTTGTGTTTTGGACTATTACCTTATACATGAGGCATGCAGGTTCATGCTGATGCTTTTGGCTGCATGCTATTCGAACAGTCTAATGAGGGATAAATAGTGAATATATTTCATTCCAATGACACAGTGTGCCAACTGCCTTACTCATGAAACACATAATTCAGACTACAACCGTACTGTTTTCTTTCAAACATCTTTGTAACTTGTTGCTTTAACAGCTATTTATTTGGACAATTGCAGCTTCCTTGCATTTTTTAGTATACAGGTAGTCTTTGTTTAGCGACCACAATTGGGACCGGCAACTTGGTTGTTAAGTGAAGTGGTCACTAAGTGAAACCGTGACTGTGCTTATAATCTTACTTCAGCTTTCCTTTATAAAACTGTCTAAAAGTAATAAAGATTAGATATGTTGATATAATTTGATTGTGGGAGTAGGCAACTCCCAAGGAAAGGATGGATACGAGAGTGCACCTTATTCCTCAAAGGA